AAGGTTTTTTATTGCCCACGCTTCCTTTTGTCACATGGAATCGTTGAACAATTTGTAAATTTAAACTTGAGATAATATAGTTATTACTAAATAATTTAAAAAACTAATTATATCACTGTAAACTAGACTAAATTACAAAACTTTTGATATATAACTTATAAATAAACCCTAAAAAAAAAAACTATTAAAATTAATTAAAGAAAACGATATGACTAAAAGGCTTGTCAACCATGGAACACCAGCGCCCTCTTTTATTATTATTATTATTATTATTATTATTATTATTTTAACGTCGGAATTAATTTTTTGAAAAATGTCTTCTAGCACGGATTAAGTTAATCCAATGTTTTTTTTTTTTTTTTTTTTTTTTCACTTCACTTCCCCCCGCCTTTTCCTCACTTTTTCACTCCTCCCCCCCGAACGTGTTGAAACTTAAATCCGAAAACGTTTTTAACAATCCATCCACCCACCCTCCCTCCCTGGATTAAATTAAAAAAAAATTTTAATCTTGCACTTTGCAAAATAAATATTGTTTTAAAAATTATACATAATTAATTTATATAAAAAAATAATATTAATAATAATAATAATAATAATAATAATAATAATAATAATAATAATAATAATAATAATAATAATGAGAATAATAATAATAATAAACGGTAACGTGCGACTTTCGGAGGAAACCGTAAATTTAATCGAAATTTTTATCGAATCCCTCCAGTTAAATAAATAAATAAATAAAATTATATTAAATTGGGAGTAATAATAATCCATTTTGTGTTAAACGATACCGGAAACGGAAATTTGATACGAAACGCGCATTTTACAAATATATACACATTCGCGTATTCGGCGAAAGTAAAACAATAAGAATATCGAGTAAAAGTTTTTTTTTTTTTTTTTTTGCGGGAAAATTAATTACATAATGCGACGTCGAGTGTTACGATACAGGTTTACCACAATTATAAAAATAAATAACAAAACGTTTCGGCATCGAGTTTAAATATTTTCTATAAAAAAAAAAAAAAAAATCTGGAAAACGGGAGAAAAATAGTAAAAAAAAAAAAATTCGAAATTTATAAAAAATAAAACTCGAAATGGGTCGGGCATGGGGGATTCCATTCGTTAAATCTCAGCAAAGTTTTCAAATCTCCCCCCTAATAAAAAAAACGTGTTTTTGTTTATTCGTTTTCCCCCCCCCCCCAAAAAAAAAAAAAATTACCACGAAAATAAAAATAAAATAAAATAATAAAATCGAAATTTTCCCAATACCTTTTTAGCCTTCGAAAAAATTTTTTTTCCTTTTTTTTTTTAAAACTTTATCTTATGAACTAAATCAAAACTAATGGGGGGGGGGGGATCGATAAAAATCAATAAAAATCAGTAAAAAAAAATCGAAAAAAAAAAAAAAAATTAATAATTGTCAAATTCCAAAATATTAATTCCAGAACAAAAACGAGAAAAAAATTTTTTTTTTTTTTTTAATCTTCCAACTTTTTTCTTATCGCAGTCATTACACACACACACACCCTCCCCCCTCAACCTTCCCGGTATTTTTTTTCCTCCCTTTATATATGATTACGGAACGTGATAAGCGTCGTGTAATTAACTGAAAAGCTCCCCCCCCCCCGGAAAACCTTTGATTTTGGAACGAAAATTGTTGATGTCGTACCAACTTTAATTTTTTTTCACCGTTATCATCATCATCATCATCATGATAAAATAATTCGGAATGCGTTTTATCAAAGAGAAATAATACGTAAGCTAATAAAATCCCCGGGCGTGTATTCTATTCGACTACCGTCTCCTCTCTCCCCCTCCCAAAAAAAAAACTTTTTATAATATGCGTGCGGGAAAAACAGCAAAACAAAAACAAAAAAAAAAAAACAAAAGTTCAAAAGGAATTTTTAAAAACTCGTCAACAAAGCAATGTCCAAAGGTTTTCCTTTACAATTTCCCTCCTCCCCCTTACGCCCCCCGTTTCGAATTTAAACAAAAAAAAAAAAGAAGGAAAATTAATTAAAATTAATTAAAAAAATTTTATTCGCGTCGTCGTTGTCGCCGTCGGAATTTTACCGGAATTCGGGGTGGATCATGACAACAATTTCAAACGGTCACGTGGGATTGTGAATTCCACGTTTGTACACGTGTAATAAAAAAAAAAAAACAACTTGAATCCCGATCCGCGGAACTTTTACATCCCTTGCTCCATTCCTAAAACGTCACGAACAAAAAATAACGCTTAAAATGATTTTCCCCCGGGATAATTTTTACGTTTCAATTAGAAAATCCCTTCGTCCGCGCACGTGGTGGTGGTGTAAATAATTCTGGATCTAGCAATAAAATATTCTCTTATCTTTTCCACAAAACGATTCGAGTTTGAATTTTTTTTTTTTTTTTGTCCAGGCAATCACGCATACGTCATACGGGTAAGTGTGACGTAACAACCGATCGTAAAATATTCTCTCTCTCTCTCTCTCTCTAATACTTTTTTAAAAATTTTTAATATGGATGACTTTGGCAAAGAATTATTATTTCCATTAAACATTAAACATTGAAATGATGTATTACCCTTTTAATATCATCATCATTATTATTATTTGTTTTTTTAAATCAAAAAGTGGAAATTCAAGTGGAAATTCGCATACTTTTCTCCTCTTACAACAAATAAATCTGAAATAAGAGACTACACACAAAGAGGTACTACAACGCCGAATGAATATAACGATGCATAATTTCGAGAAGGTTTGTAAAATGTGTGCGTGAGTGCGTGCGCGTGAGTGCGTGTACTTCGACAACACTTTTACAATAATAATTACACACTATTACTACGTCCTTACATCGACCCTTTTACAACATGTACACACATGTTTTGACTTGAGTCAAGTACTCATCATCATTACAACCGCAAATCATTTCGAACTCACGATTCTGGAATCCCGAATTATTTTCATTATTTTCATCAAACCCGAAAAATATTGAGGAAGACGAATAGCAAAAAAAAAAAAAAAAAAAAGGAAAAATTTTCACGGTACCTGTGCAATTTCCTTTTTCGTGCAACAAAAATTGATGAAATTCAAATTGACAAAATCCGATCCGCAGCAAACTGTTATTGTTTTCTCTTCTAGTGTATCCTGGGATCCCATCGTCACGACCGATTTGAGTTTGGGATCTTTGGGAACTTTCGAATGACGACCCGTTCTCGCATCCCGTATGATGGCAAAATCCAACACGTCCATTTCGTTGTTCTGATCCACCCAATATAAATAAAAACCGTTTTTGTCTACCCGTAACGTGACCGGCGTACCCGTTCCAGAATCCTGCAACAACAACAACAACAACAAAAATATTATTAATAAAATAAAAAATTGTTATTATTATTATTATTATTATTATTATTATTTTTTTTTTTTTTGTTAAATTTTAATAACGGCATTTTTATGTTTGTCGTCCATTACGGACTTTTTTTTTTATGGAAGAGAAAACCACTCGTTTGAAACGTACAACCGCCATTTTTTTTTTTTTTTTTATTAAAGACATAAAAAAAAATTATTATTATTATTATTTTTTCAATCGAAAATAAATAGAGCAAAGAGTTGTAAGATGACTTATGTAATAATAATACAATACGACGACGACGAAAAAAACAAAAAGTAGTAATAATAATAATAATAATCAGGAATGATAATTTCAGGTGTTTCAATTTTCCTTTTAGAAAATTGTCACAAAGTCATTTTCGAAAAAATCGTTTAAATATATTTTTAAATAGTAGGGGGAAAAATTATTATTATTATTATTATTATTATTATTATTATTATTATTATTATTTTTTCTTTCTTTTATGACCTCATTAAATTCTCTCTAAGCTTTAAATCTGGTTTACCGAAGAGATAATGCTATAACTTTTTTCTGGTTTAAAATCTGTGTTTGTGTGTGTGTTATTCAGTAGCGTAACAAGTCATAATCAAATTCTAATCTTAAATTCTCTCACAAGAATAAACAAACACTCGATCAAAAAGGTTTGTTCAATCCCTGAGTCAATCTCTCTCTCTCTCTCACTCTCGTTTGCAATAATTTCTAAAACTCCCATTTCTCGCTCTCTCTCTCTCTCACTCTCGTTTGCAATAATTTCTAAAACTCCCATTTCTCGCTCTCTCTCTCTCTCTCTTTCTCCCTATCCCTTCCTTTATTTCTTAAAACCTTAATGACCACAGACAGCTATGGAAAATTAAATTACCATAAATTTTCAAGCCTTTCCACCATTTCTTTTTTTAAAAAAAATGATGATGATGATGATGATGATGATGATGATAAAGAACAATTTTCTTTTTCTTTTCTTTTCTTTTTTTAATTAATTTTCTCTCATTTTCTTTGACCGTGAAAAAAAAAAAAAAATTTTCTTTCGAAACCTTTTGTTTAAAAAATGACAATCTCATTCCTTTACCCTTCCTTCCCTTCCCCCCTTTCCCCCCCTTGTTACATTTTTCGCGCTTGTTTGAAAATTTCATTCAATTACCTTTTACAAAATGGTGCCACATATTATTATTATTATTATTATTATTATTAGGATTATCGAATGCAACCGAACGGACGAAACATTTATTATTAATTAGTATTAGTAGTAGTAGTAGTCGGTATTAATTGGGGATGTTAATGAAATTATTCCGTAATAATTTCCACACCATCCATTTTTCGATCGAACGATTTCGCTTACGTTTTCCTTACGCCATTTTGTTTTTGAAACATTTTCAAAAAGCGGGGGGTTAATATAAATATATACTTCGAAACAAAACGTCCCCTCATTTTAATTTCCCTCCTTGGACAAAAAAAAAAAAAATTTTTTTTTACCCGTCAAAACTTTTTTTTTCACAAAAATACAGGGGGGGGTTTGTTCCCCTTAAAAAAAAAAAAAAAAGAAAAACAATTTTTTTTTTTTTCACTTTTTTTTTCTTTCTCCTTTTCTTTTATTCCCGAAAGAAGTCAAGGGAAAAAAAGGATAAAAAATAAAGAAAGAAAGAAAGGCCAAAAAAAAAAAAAAAAAGGGGGGGGGGAAAAAAAAAGAAAAAAAATTAAATTTTTAAACGCGGTTGGTTTTTTTTTCCCTCGTAACTTTTTTTTTTTTTTTCTTTCTATCTCCCCCCTCCCCCCTTTTTTTTGTAATAAATAAATAATGATTTTTAAAAAATGAAAAAAAAAAAAAAAAAAAGAGCAACAGCTTTTTTTTCCGTTATTTCATTCCGGTTTAGGTAAATAAAAAATTTAAAAATTTAAAATTTAAAAAAAAAAAAAACGCTCAGGCAAAAGAATTCATAAACGAAAACATATTTTATCGGAAAATGAAGGGGGGGGAAAAAAAAGAGGAAAATTTGAAAAGGAAAGAGAGAGAGAGAGAGAGAGAGAGAGAGAGAGAGAGAGAGCTTACTTTGTGTTTGCGTCCTCGAAACTTTTAAACATTTGAAAAAGTATAAAATGTAAAACGACGATCTAAACAATAAAAAAAAAAAAATTTTTTTTTTTATCGATCGTTTAAACCGGTCATTCTTATTATTATTATTATTATTATTATTATTATTATTATTATTATTATTTATACGCCGCGTTTACGCGTACGCATTAAATATACACGCATGCAAGAGATGGGGAAATGAATGCATAATCTTAACGCCATTTTCGCCATTAAAAAAAAAAAAAAATCATTTAATGAAAATTATTCGAATTGTACGTGCGTGTGCGTGCAGGTGCGTGTTCCTCTTAAATTTATATATAAATATATTCCGACTTAAAAAAAAAACCTAGTAGAAGAAGAAAACACCAAAAAAATTTGTTAACGACAACCTTGAAATCCTCAATAAAAGGAGCAAATATGGCTTTAAGGAATTTAATGCTTTTCACCGCAACCCTTGGTCGTTTTTATTTTATTTTATTTTATTTTATTTTTTATTTTTGTTTTAAATTTTTTTTTATTTTCTCCAACGAAGTCTTTTTAATGTTCTTGTCGAAACATTAACTTTTTTATTTAACGTTTCTTTCCCGTACTTTGAAAAATAAGGAGGTAAATGGATGCGTTCTCGGGAAATTTACTATTATATACAAACGTGTTTTCCGGAAATGTTTGTTTGACACACGAAAAAAATACCTTTACGCGATAATTTAACCCCTTCTAATTTTCTCGTCGAAATACCTATATAATAATTGAGAGGAGGGAAAAATTATCATTATTATTATTATTATTATTTAACTTTACGCGAAAATGTCACCTCCCACAAAAATTAACGTTACATAAGCTAAACGTTATTTAATAACCGCACACCTTAAAAAAAAAAATTGCGTGCAAAACTTTTTTATTGCCTCCTATTTTTTTATATTTTTTTAATTATTTTTTTTTCGCTTATTAATTTTATCACCCCCTTTCCTCCCCTACCCATTCCTTTCCTACCCCCGCGTGTTACACGATAATGATAATACTCACGTCGAAATTAATTATTTAATTATTTCTACATCCTATATGTAATAATTCAATTCAGTTTTATTTATTCATTCATTCATTCATTCATTCACGATCGAAAAGACAAAAAAATTATTATTATTATTATTATTAATTATTAAATCGATCCTCGTGATAGCGATACATATATACATAAAATATTTTTTTTTTTTTTTTTATCGAGGCTGATAAGAAAAAAAAAAAAAAAAATGGAACGCAACGGTGTATTCCATATTGTTAAACGATTTTTAAAATGCTTGCAATCCCTTGTTATTACTTCAATAAACGAATCAATTTCCTTATTTGTTTTTTTTTTACCCACGCTTACAAATATGCGTAAATGCGTATTTATTTATTTATTTACTCACGCGCGTGCTCAATCTGACACGCGCACTCACGCACGCATACGGGTACAACAAATAAATTATGTCGGAAAAAAATAAATAAATAAATAAACAAACAAACAAACATCCTCATTGTTTTATTTTTTTCTTTTTCGTTCAATTTTATCATTGTCGGTAGGAGGAGGAGGAGAAGGGAGGAGGGGATATAACGAATTGAAAATAATAATGATGATAATAATAATAATAAATTCAATAGGAAGTTATGCATTATCATTATTATAATTAAATTATTAATCTGTGAAATTATTAACGGGGCGAAATAATCAATTATTCTCGTTATGTTAATAACTGTATATAATGTATTTCCCGGTATTTAAAATAATGGTTGTCGTTGTTGTTGTTGTTGTTGTTGTTCTTATTATCATCATCATCATCATCACCGAAATTTTTTTTTTTTACATTACCTTAAAAAAAATATTTCGAGTAATTTTTAATTTAAATTTTGACTGATTGACTCGCGGTTTGGGAATTTAAATTATTCCCTAAAGTATCAAAGGATCTAATTTTTTGTAATAAAAGAAAAAAAAAAGATGAAATTAATTGGAATGTGCCTTCCTTTTTAATTTACAATCGATATTTTTTATTTAAAGTAAAAAAATTACCCCCCAAAACCCCTCCCCAACTCATTTCAAAAAAAAAAAAAAAAACAATTAATTTTTTTTAAAAAACCTGACTGAAAAGGGCGTAACACCGTAAAAATAACACACACACACATACACAACTAATTAAACCAATAATAAAAATAATAATAATAATAATAATAATAATAATAATAATAATAATAATAATAATAATAAATGAATAATAAAAGAAAATGTCAGTTAATAAAACATTATTAAAATTATTTAATTTCTTTTTTTTTTTTTTTTTAATGCTTGCATATATATGTAAATGACCATTTTTTTTTTTTTTTTTTTTTTTTTTGGTAATAATAATAAGTTTTTAATATCCACAAAAACGTGTGCAGCAAGTTTGGATATTATAAATTTATTTATAAATCGTTCATGCCAAAGGTAATAAATAATAATTTAACTGTTGCACCATTTTAGTTTTTACTAAAAAAAAAAA